GGCCACGACCGGTGTGCACCAGGAGGTTCAAGGGTTACCGCCCTTTGAGGCACCTAAAACCTTGAGACCACAGCTCCCCGCCGCGGCTTCGGCAATAGAGGCTTTGAACACCGACCACTCTGGTTCAATGCATTACTATGTGCATCATTTAAAGCAGCGTTGGTTGAGGGTGGGTGTGCTTCAGCTTAATGAAGTGAAACATAATTTTATGTATCATTTATAAAGAGCACTTGCTCCCATTATTTATGATGACAACTCTTACGTAGGTTGCATGAAAGATTCAATAAAGAACCTAAGATATACTATTTGCCTGAAAGCGCTTATTATTTTTTCTTTATTTAAGAAAGCATGAATTAATTTGGCAATACAAAAAAAAGGGAAAACCGTGTTAAAAAAGCGTATTCTAACATGACTTAGAGTCTATAATCATTGCAAGAGCCCCTTACTTAAATGACAGTCATCAGCCTTCTTAGAAAATGAAGTAGTGCTTTTGTATGGATACAAAAGTCTGAGATCAAAATAAATGTTGACCTGATCTGCTTCTTTGACAAGCCTAAAGCAATCTACAGCAGGCTACAAAAGTATGTATTCGAGCACAGTTGAGCAGAAACTAAGTATAGGGTTAACAAGCTTACTTCAATCTGCGTATTCTGTGTTTTTTCTTGTAAGTGAAAACGATGGACTTGGGCCTTTGCTGACACAGTCTATGTCAGCTTTTTAAAGATGACATAAAAAGGCTGGATTCCTATCTCACTGAACAAATATCATTTCCAAAAGTACATTGAAGGATTTGTGAACCTCTGTTGCTACAGCAGTGTTTGATTTACAGTGCGTTTGATTTAGATTCATAAAGCAAAGAGGAGACAGAAACCATGGTTGGGGAAGCAAAAATGAAGAAGACGGATACATTTGTAACACTCTTGAAGTCTTTTGTTTGCGAGAAAACGATGAGGCATGGAGAACGCGCAGCAGTAAAATGTAAGCCTCTGCATTATTTACTTTGCATCATTTACCATACGTGTGCAGCAGCAAAGCTTTCCTGTGTATACCAACAAAATTAGTCAGGAATAAATGGATTAGGTTTGTTTCCAATTGGATATTGAGTTAATCTCTTAAATAAAACCCTTCTTGCGTGACAGGCACACGTGATATTTACTGTAACATATTGAAATCTGACATGCCATAAATGAATCAATACGGATGATGGACAGGAAACCGAGAGCATCTGAACCCAAAGATTCAACATCAGTCAGTTGATTTCCACCTTTGACAACTGATCTGATCTAAATGTTCCCTTCTGGTCTTCCTTCCTCTTGATCCCAGTAAAGATCCACAGAGAGAACCCTGAAGGTGTTAGGAAATCTACTGCTGTGTCCTAATTTAATTCTGTTAGTTCACTTCTATTTACCACCAACATATGACTGCTACTATCATATGCAACTTGTTTGTCCACTTGAGAATTGTATTGTGCCGTGTAAGCCCGCGTCACACTGTCCCGAAATTGACACCCGATGAACACACGAATATGGAATTGTGAATTTCTCACGAAGATGGCCCCGAACCACACACGAAGGGAACATTTACATTACATTTAAGACATACAACTGCAACGAAAGTAACAAAAACAATTATGTTAAAGTACTATGATACTGTACTGATATATTCAGACTTTGTTCTTTACTTTATCCGTCTTTATATGTAGAAGATATTAAGTTTTCTCCGTAATGTTGTTTCCATAGCAACAAAAACTTCCTGTCAACTCGCCTTCAAAATAATATATTATATCCTTTTCAGTTTCACAGAACACAAATTGGGTTATTTACATAATATGTTTACATGATTTTGTTGTGCAATAAAACAACCCGATGGACACACGATAAAGGAAATGTTCAAAGTCAGCTCTGATCGTAACAACATCGGGCCATTCGTGAGGGCATCTTAAGCCGCCGGTGGAGTTTCTCAGGCTCCGGCAGCAACTTCGTGAGCGGTGGCAAAATCTTTGGCATGCCAAAAAATTGCCGAAGGACCTTGCGAAGGTTCATTTTCGTGTTGAATTTGTGTGTCAATTTTGCCCTTCGTAAGGCCATCGTGAGAGCATCTTGTTATCATCGGTGCCATTGGGCATTCACCCCGATCAGAGTGAATGCCCGATGCCCGATGGCACCGATGATAACAAGATGCCCTCACGATTTGACAAGATGCCCTCACGAGTGCCTTACGAAGTTGCCGCTCACGAAGTTGCTGCCGGAGCCTGAGAAACTCCACCGGCAGTCATACGATGGCTTAAGATGCCCTCACGAATGGCCCGATGTTGTTACGATCAGAGCCGAATTTGAACATTTCCTTTATCGTGTGTCCATCGGGTGTCAATTTCGGGACAGTGTGACGAGGGCTTTACAGGAGCCACTGGTTATGCTGCAGCTTTACTTCCTTGACCGCCATTTTCATAAGATCGTCCCTTCGGCCCCTCAAGCCTTGCAAGTAAAGTTCCTTATACGCCAAACTGACACCAAAAAACACCAAAGAACACCAAAGAACACGTCCCGACGGAACTTCGCCTCACGTCTCCTGCGTCTTACTGGAACACACCGCAAAAACTTCAGCCGACGGCTAAGTTGCATGTACGAACTGCACATGCGTGAGTGGCAATAACTCTCCTTACCAGCAGGCGGCGGTAGTGTGTATTCGTCATTCAAAAGAGGCAACCGGAAGACAGACTGCGTGATACACCGAGAGAAGAAGAACAGACTGCGTGAGATAAACAAACAACAAATAGCGTGTGCGTTCCATTTTCACTCTACAGCTAGAAGCTCACGGGGCTTTCCCCAACCTGTGTCGAGAGCTGGAGTTCAATGAAATCTCAGATTTGCCTTCTTAATAGTTTGTTTGGGTCCCTCACTTCCGTTTCGCTTCTCATGCACTGATTCGCTAGCTGAACAGCCAATCAGAGTGATTTCTTTGGTCGAAGGCCGTCAGCCGACAGCCTCCCGATTCAACATGTTGAATCGGCGGCGGAAGGTGTCGGCACGGCCGAAAAGACACCACGGTGCGGGACACACCAAGACACACCAATCTGAGTAGGGCGACACAATGCTCATCGACGGCCCGACATCTATCGACGCCGAAAATCGGCTTGGTGTGTAAGGACTTTTAAAATCTATTTAGCACTTTTATTTAACATGAATTAATGAACATGTTGAAGCTTTTTATGGGGATGGTATTAGGCGCGGCGGGCAGTAAGAATCCTGCAGTCAGCACCCATAAATAACCACTGCTTAGAACCAAGTAGCAGTTGATGCCCTCCAGGTCTATGGAGGACACTTAAGGGTCGCAGCCAATTTAAATAAACAGCTGACTGGGACAGGTGTTCATGAATAATGCTGAACTAACCAGTGCACCTCTTGGCTTCTTTAAAACAGGCTTTCCACCTGTGTCCATCTGTGCGATCATCACTGCTGCACTGGGCTGAAATGAAATTACATGTCTTTAAAGAGGCCCTTTTTCACTATTCCAAGTTTTTTTGTGTTATATACGTTATATATATATGTGTGCATGTAAATGGTCTCCACTAATGCGGGAACGTTTGTTAAAAAAAAAAAAGACCACTGAAGTCTATCTATAACTTTCCCTATTCCATGTTATGAAGATAAAGTGATATTTTTTTTGTGACAAGCAACCTGTGTTGGTGGTGCAAATAATGAAATAAGAGGATAGTAGAATGAAGCCAAACCTTCAAGGGAAAGTGTATTGAGTATCCGGCTGTGTCATTAGAGACTGCAGGTCACCTCTCCTAACAACACTCTACATTGGTTTCTATTCCACTGAGCAGAACGAGTGATGCACATTCCCCTGTACACATACAGATTCAACAATACATGTACTAATCGTAATACATACAAAATGGAACCTAACTTTAATAGAGGTTAAACATTGGAACAAAACACGTTTAGAACATTATAAATATCTAGTTTGGTATATTTTTAAGACCTAATTCGCAAACTGGGGTTCTGGTATGGATACTAAGACTTTCCTTTTGGTACACCAGTTATTGTTTGCAGTCTGATTAAGATGAAGCTGAGAGAATAAAAGAAAAAAAATCTGAGCCAATGGGACAAAGGCAAGGCAAGTTTATGTATATAGCCAGGGGTGCACATAAGTGGTACGCAGGTACGCATGCGCGGCAACAATCTGAAATGCGTACCGTCACTTGTGTCACAAAGCGCATTTGCGTACCGATGTATATGTGAAGCTTTTTTTTTAAGGCGGTTGGATCACCGGACGACGGAGTCGCTCTCCGTGTGCAAAGACAGGGCTGCTGTTAACGTCGGCCTGTACAGCAGCACTGCGCTAAAACAGCTGATCACAACGTTCACACGCTCTGTGGTCACGAAGCTCTGCACTCTTGTCGTTGTAACGGAGATAACTCAACTACATTACGAGACTCTGTTAACAGTACACGCTCGTCGTCGTGTAGAGACTCTATAGACGGACTGGTTAATGTCATGTCCGCACGAAACAATCTCTTAGTCCACTAGAATGTGTCGAATCATCGGTATACGGTTGTAGCATGTAAACATGTCTGAAGACGATAAGAATAAAAGCAATAGAAACGGGTGAAAAGTCGCTACAAAGACTCTACGGTATAGTCCGGTTTATGAATAAAGAAGGATTAGCAAAAGACACAAAAGTGTAAATCCTGATTAATACAATATCGGATCCTTCACCACATTCTTCATCGACGTCGGTCACCCCACGAACCTAACCTGAGTTGAGAAACAGTTACTTCCAAAATATCGACCCAGCATTATTTACTTAAGCGGCCAAATTACCGAATTATATCACAAAACCGTTTTTTATTATACTCTCTACTGCCGGAATAGAGGAACCTGCATTATATTCACTTTAAGATCGAAGTTGTTCTGAAAACGCCCAATTTTGGTGGCGGTATCCTTGTTCTCCCCTTGTATGAAGATAAATTAACCTAAAACAATTATGAGCGTGAGTGACGGTGTGTCAGGTACCCCGGAATTGTCCTGTCAATTTTATATTGACTCATTTAAAATTTGTGTTTATTTTGTTGTCGGACATCTCTTCATAGTTTAAAGTTTTTGTCCGAGAAGAGAGAGAAGAGGGAGAAGCGACCAGTCTCACAACTCTACAACTTTAGACAGTAACTCAAACTGAAGTCGACTTTTTGAGTCGGTCTGTACCTTGCTGTTTACTCTGTTCTCTACTATTACTTTCTAAAGGCCTTACACTCTCCGACACAGCGACTGTCCCTCGTAGTCAGACAGTGAAGAAGGAACTGAACCTGACTCTCTATCAGGCTGTAACGTCATATCTCACGTTGTGCTAACTCAATAAACTTTACTGACGGTCCGGGAAATTAATTCCCAAAGATTACCCTGCTCGTCTCTTCGATTAATGCTCGCTCGCCTCCTCTCTCCTAGGACTTGTGGATCTCCGTTTGTAATCAAGATTCATATCCAGACGACCCTCAACGTTGGGAAATTAATGTGGCAATGTAACAACAAGAACTTCGAACGAGTTGGGAAGACAAGTAATTCTTTTAGTAATTCTTTAGCTTCTGTTTAGAAATAGCAGTAGACGGGTTCGTTCTAAGAGAAACAAATCCGGGTTTTATGTTAAAGAGCTGGATGACCGATTAATACGTTGGTAGGTTTAGAGCAGCCAGAAGTCCCTGACCAGTCGAAGACAGGGGTCCAGTCTTGATTTGTGACCTCCTTAGTCGCAATCAAATAATACGAGGTTTATAGACCTTGTTTGAGGGGTGTGCTTTGGGATGTCCAGGCGACGTTGAGGATTATGCAACAAATTGTAGGTCCGACTCTTGAAAATAAAAACAGCGACGAAAATTAACTTGATACAGTGGTAGAATTTGACGTGACACTGACAAATTAGGTAACATACAAAAAAAAAATTACAGATAAAATAATTGAAAAGAAAATTACTGAACTAAAATTACGTAAAGACGAATTACAGAAAGTAAAAAACATTCGTGAAACGTTAACGGAACACAACGTTTCGCGAGATATGTGTCCCCACGTGTGTTGAAAGAGTCACTCCTATAGTCGCTACTCGATGGACGCTCAGTTCACAAACATGACGATGAAGGTTGAAGGCCGTAGGGGGGAGTTGCAAGGTACTCGGGAGACATAGCTCACAGTTGCCCCCATCATTTTTTCTTTTCATCTCATACTACTTCCCGGGAGACATAGCGCTTACAGTTGTCCCGCCCCCCTATCATCATGTCATTGCTACTTCGGGGAGACATAGCGCTTACAGTTGCCGCCCCCCCACCATCCA